CAGGGGAGAATTTATTTGTAATATCTAAGTTAGTGATGAGTTTTCAGTCACAGAGAATGGGAAGGAAACCTAGAAAATCTTGGGAAAACCCAGCATGTTCTGTGGGAGAGAGTACAGTATCTCGTGGTACATCCTGCCCTTACTGACTGTCTTTCCTCATCCATGTGGAAGTTGAGGGCTGGAGAAAGGCACAGTTGTGGATGTTCCCAGGGTTGATGAGGACGTTTCTCGGGGATCTCAGTCCCTCACTATGGATTTCTCAGCTGTTTTACTCAGAATCCCAAACTCTGTGGGAGTCCTGCCCTCAGAGGGAACCTGAGAGAGGGATGAGCCAAGTGGCTGCACACTCATCTCCTGCCTGTCCTTGAGACTGAGGTGGAAATGCTGACTCTCCCAGAGTCATTTTGGACTAAGTGCCACGTAGACCCGGCTAATGGGACTCCATGCCAGGCAATCTGGAGATATATTAAACCCAGGAGCTGCTGCAGGAATGATTTGCATGTCAGTGACAGGAGGGAAATTGCCTCATCGTGTCTCTCTGGGTTTTGATCCTGTGAAGTGCCGGGTATCCCAGCTCCAGTCTGTTTAATTGATTCCCTGAGGCAGTGGAGGCCTCCTGGGATAATGAGGGCTCCCAAGGGGAAGATGCTCAGTTGTCTCCTGCTTTTACCTCTCTGCTCCTCTGGCTGAGTGAAGAGGGGGAAAATCAGCTAAAAATGAAATGAAAAGTGATGTTTGTTAAGAGGGATTTAGTGGTCATGTAGGCTCCCAGTGTCCACCCCCCTGCACTGAGATTCCTTGATCTCTGACACATTGGAGAGCAGGGAAACCTGCTTAGAATCCCACACAAGGATGAGCCATCTGGGTTTATAATGGCTACCCAGAGGGAAACAACTGCCTGGTCTTCCCTGCTTGTGACAGGGCAAGGGGAATGGATTCAAACTGAAAAAGAGGAGGTTTAGATGGGATATTGGGAAGAAATTCCTCCCTGTGAGGGTAGTGAGGCTCTGGCACAGGTTGTCCAGAGAAGCTGTGGCTGCTCCATCCCTGGAAATGTCCAAGGCCAGGCCGGATGGGGCTTGGAGCAACCTGGGATAGTGGAAGGTGTCCCAGCCCATGGAATGAGGTGATCTTTAAGGTCCCTTTCAATCCAAACCATCCTGTGATTCCATTATTCTATGATCTTTTCCAGGTGCCAGAGGAGCAGTGGGATCAGGACAGCCTGGCAGAGAAGGGTGGAGACCTCTCTTGCAGCAGCCACCCTTTTGGGAGACCCCTTCATGTGAGACATCATTTAACAGTCACAACTCCTCACACTTCCCATCTCCAGGGCTGGAATGTAGGACGAGGAGGCTAAAACAGGCTGAAGGTGGGTGTGCTGTGGGAGCAGATTACAAAAGGAGCTATTTTCCCTTGTAAGCTTCTCAGCTCGCCCCCTGCTTAGGTCCTGGAAGCTGTCAGAGCTCAGCGGGGGTCCTGTGGAGATTTGGGAGGGCAGGGAAACACACTCAGAGGTGGCACTTCTTGCTGATCCCGTGGTGGCACCGATGCCACTGACGGTCTTGGAGTGGAGACAGTGGTGGCTCCAAGGCCACCTGACAGTCTTGGACAACCTCAGGCTCTTCCCTCCTTGGATTTCACTTTAAACCCCGCCCTGTCTAGATCTGGGAATGACTGGATCCTTGTTACTCTTGCCTGTGCTTTTTTTCCTTGGTGATGTTCAGCTGCAGGAGGTTTTTGGCTGCTGGGAATGGATCCAGCGGTGTCCAGCTGGAGCAAATTCCTCATGGGCAGCAGTCCCTGTCCTGCCTGGCTTGGCCTGGGAGACCAGGATGTCCTGGGTGTAGGATGAGGCCAGGAGAGAGCCACCTGAGAGTGGTCTGGGTCAGCCCTGTGCTGTGGAGGGATATGGAAGGACATTCTTCCTTAAAGGAAAGGGGATATTTTTCCTGCCAGGAGAGGGGACAATGCTCGGTCACCATGGCAACTGCAGCTCAGGGATGCTGGGTACACACCAGTGCCCTGGCAGAGGTGCTGGGGATGCTGCTGGAGGCCAGGATGTCCTGATCCCAGGCTAATTCCCAACACTTCAGCCAGGATTTTGTAATGGGAATAATCCTGAATGCAGCCTTCGATTAAGCTCCTAAATCCCAGGAAGAGAAACAGGAAGTCTGGAGCAGAGACCTTGGGAACCACCTGCCGCTTTAGTTTTGCTTTTCTATGGATCTAATTTTCCAAAGGTTCCCAGAACCTTGGATATTCAAATGGCTCTTTCTATGTGCTGATTGTTAAGAATCCAAGCCAAAGCAGGTGGACGATCCTTTAGCAGTCATAAAGCACCTCTGTGGTTGGTAACAGTGAGGAGATCTGATCTCAGAGGCTCTGCACAACTCTTCCTTCAGCACCTGCACTTGGAAAGTTGGAAAACAGAGATTTGTAAAGCAAGTGGAAGAAAAGGATTTGCAAACCTCTGCTGTTCTAGCAGAGCTCAGGCACTGCCTTGGAATTACAAAGATAGAGCATGTGTCATTCCCAGCTTTCTGTGGTGCTCTGCTAATTTTCCTGCCTGCTGAGAGATAAAATGGATCCTCTGGAATTCCTCCAAATTAAAACCCAGGCTCCCTCTCCCCCTGCCAGCAGGGAACAGCCCCTGTTTGTCACCAGCAGCATAACTCCACCTTTATCAGGTGCTTCCAGTGCTCCTCAAAACCGGGAGCTGTGAAATATTTCCCTGGATTTCATTACTTTGGAAATATAATGTTAAATCTCTCAGCTGGGCTTTGTGGCTTCACCAGGCAGAGGCTGAGTTGGAGCAGGAGCTGTGTGTGGATCCCTCTGTGCTGCTGAGGTGAGCACTGTGAGGGAGTTCCGTGTGCTCTCCCTGTGCAGGTGCCGGGCTCCTTGTCCCTCCCTGAGCCTCTGGCTGCTTTTCCCACAAGGAATGATGCTGGAATGGGCTGCAGCAGGTTCCTGTTCAGGCTAGGTGAAGGGATGGGAGAAGCCAAGTGCTATGTGTTGATGCTCCTGTGCCAAGTCTGTCCAGGCCTCGTGGGAATCCTGTGGGATGTGGGTGCAGCCTTTTCCCAGGAATGCAACACAGAGCTGTGGAAATCAATCCAGCCCAGCTGGAACACACACGCACAGGCTGGTTCCTCCTCCCTCAGCTCAGGTTATCCGTCCAAACCTGCAGTGAGGAAACCTTTCACTGTTGCTTCTTCCCTCGTAGCCAACTCATTCCCTGTTTTCTAGCTCTCGGATCTCACCCCTGCAGCCTTCCAGGCCAAGTTCCAGGTCTTCCCTCCCTCCTTGGACTTCCTTCTGTGCCTGGTGCTCATCTCCAGGGGCTGCAATTCCAACTGTTTATGGGTAAGATCAGCTCTTGCCAGGTGAGCCCAAAGCCCAGCCCAGCGCGGTGGCACCTGGGTGAGATCAGGTCCTGCTTCCTGGTTCTGCATTCCTGGACTTCCAGCTGATATGTCCAGGGGCTACCAAAGAAGGGAAAACCTGAGGATGGAGGTGGTGGGGAGGTGCCTGGTGATCACCCGGTTCATTAGTCCAGCTACCAAATTAGTGACAGCAAACAGCAGCTCCCATGGGAACTTTTGAATGTTGGGACTGTCAGAGCCTCATCTTTCAGGGTTATTTTATTTGCAGGTGTTTCCCTGAGACTCCTCTGCCATCAGAGTTTGGTGTTCCATCTTGGGCAGCTTGACTTCCCAGAGCATGAGCCTGCTCCCAACCAGCTTCTGCAGAGCCCAAACTTCCCTGTGTTCAATTTCTTGTTATTGCATTTAGTCTCTGGTGACTCCCGAGCTGACAGCTGGTAAGGATGGCATGAAACTGAGTTAATTTTATTGTCTAATTTGTGCAAAGTTGAAATCAGGGTTCTGAAAGCCTTGCTTTGCATTATAGTGCTGACACATCTGCTGCGTGCATTGGCCTTTGATTCCTGAAAGTCTGTTTTCCCTCTATTTCACCGGGATGAGCAGATCTTTGTGATCTTTTGTAAATGCTTTAACACCAGAGCTCAGAATTCCAGGCTGTTAGGGAGCTCCCCCAGCCCTCCCTGAATCTCAGAATCATCGAATGGTTTGGGTTG